TTCTTGCTGTGAGGCAGAAGTGCTTTACTCTTAGCGGGGGTCGCAGTGTCTCTGTTGGTAGAACTTGTCCTCTGGTTGGTGGTTTGAATCATTAGTCCAATTCATCCGGTTTCACTTCGTGGAAACCGTCTGACCTCGCAGCATTAGGATTTGTTCTTTTTTTATTTAACCAGTCGCTGCTGTTTGGTCGTGACGTAGGTAACGCACCAAATCCCGTAGGAAGAAGGACAATAACGTCTTTCCCCTTGATAAAATTCACCAAACATTCTCTTTGTTCCGGCTTTAAAGGTTGTGTAGAGGATTTTCCAAGGAACGAGAAATCCAGCGACTGTTCGTCCTTTTTCAAATGTTGCGCATGTGTGAAACCACCTCCCCTCCCCTACAGCTCCTACGTAGAAACGCCTCCTCCCGCCTCCTCCTTACGCCAGAAACAGGTTTGTTTACAGCCGGTGTTGGTTAGGCAAGACGGAGAAGTGAGGAGCAGAGAGAAGAGCGGAACAGGCAGCGGGGAGAGGAGCAGGAAAGGGGTGCAGGGAAGAGTGCGCGGAGATTCCGTGCGAATGAACTAACTACAACACGCAGCAGCAAGCGGACTCTTTCTTTGCCTTGAAAATTACGTTTTCAGACATAGGATATCGCATTCGTGTCCTGAAAAACGTTTGTCTCGCTCTTGGAAATAAAGTACGTTTTCATAATAAGCAGAAGTTTCCTGTCCAGGAGTAATTTGTGGACCAGTGCTTCAGTCTTTAGACCCTGCGTCTGCTTCAGTCGCGCCATCGCTGGAATGAATCTACAAGAATCACCTTAGTTTAGCTTCGCTGCTTTTCCCCTTGTCTTCTTCTTTCAGCGACCTCAAAAACGGACTTTCTTTTGCGGCGAACTGCTCCTGGATTCTTGTCGCCATCGCAACAAACTTTGTGCGAACTGCGAGGAAGATATAGGTCAAAAAAAGCCGCTAAGAACTGTTGTGTTGGTGGAGTAAACAGCGTCTGTGCGTCTTGCGTCTGTGGACTGTGTGACAGTCGTACGTAAACCACGTAACGGCGGCGCAGGCAAGTCAGTTACACTAGAAACGTAGGGAGTTTGATTGACAGCCTGTCAGCTCACAGATAACGAGGCAGTGTCGTTATCTATTGGCAAATGTTTAGCCCCACCACGTCCAGAGTTGATGAATTTATTCTCTTTTTTTTGGTCATCATAATTACAAGGCGACTGCATCTCTATAATCTATCACTGACAATGTGAAACAAAAAAAAATCCTCCATACAACCTTTAAATCCTTGATCTCGGGAATCGTTGCCAACACAGAATGTCTGTCTTCGTCTACATCCATCTCGACGTTTTGTTTACTGTTGTGCTGCTCCACAAAAGGGACCCAGACAGACGCCACGACGAGTTTGACGTCAGGGATTCTTGTAAATCGTCTATCGTATTCTGATTCCCGAACTAGTCGCTGGAGAGAAATGAAATTGAGCGGAGGCACTAGGTGGTTAGGTTCGAATCCCACTTTTGCCACAAGCGTTTTTGGTAGAATGTTCAGATCTACTGGCCCACAGGTTGACGGTGTGATTCCAGCTCATGTATGAATGCTGCTGTTGTGTCCTTGAGTCTGTGTGCACTGGTGGATGAAGGTGTGTGCGTGTGAGACTGGTCCCCATTAAACACAGGGAATATTTGTTGTTGTTTTTCAGCCCTGGACACGCTCTATTCACGCTTACATCGCAAACCAGGAAGACGTTTGGAAACATGCGACGATAACTTCCTGTGTAATTCCCGACACTGGACTCGACTGCAGACGTATGTGCTGTGTTGGAATCATCTGGAATTTGGCCCCTCATCTCTTCTAACTGTGCTCGGAGTCGTGCGTCGGTGGAGAAATGATGAAAACTGAGATGTGGTTGCATTTGTCGATTATCAATCAATCCATCAAACTTTATTCATAGTCTGCATTTCATACAAAAAATGCAACTCAAAGCAATATACCAAACTATAATGACATGGAGATGAAGAAAACTGGGACATTTTCACATTTTTTTCTAGATTTTCGCAGACTTTTGAACAGAGAAGTTTTTACAAAAAATATAATTATTATTATTACACACAACCGGGTGCATAAACTTGATACAACAAACATGGCTGTGTGTCGTCAGCAGTTACATTTTGGGATAAGGGAACATAAACACAACATATTATACAGTAACAATACAATACAAAACTAGAAAAGCACTCAGAGAGCGCAGACCTCCGCCAAGGACTACCCCCATTTTTTATATAAATTGCGATAAAATCAGTCTTCTGGATCAGATCCGGATCAGCCTTTGGAATATGAAAGAGGATCCCATTGTCCATCCCTGAGTCAAATTTCATGGGGTTTGGTCAATAATTAACCCAGATATTGAGAAACAAAATTTTTGGCCCCATTTACCACAATGTTAACTAAAATTTCAAAGTGATCCAGAATCCAGGATTTCTTCCGGATCACCCCCAAAATGAAATCAGTTCTTCCTTTTCACATTTCCAACAAATCCTGAAAATTTCATCAAAATCGGTCCATAACTTTTTGAGTTATGTTGCTAACAGACAAACAAACAAACAAACAAACAAACAAACAAACAGACAAACGCCGGCAAAAACATAACCTGCTTGGCGGAGGTAATAAAAAAGTGTAAAAAAAAAAAAAGTGCATTTAGGAAGAAAAAGGGATAACAGCAAGGGAAGTATGAGAGTTCATTCAGCCTGAGTTCATAAAGTCCAGGGGTATTTAACATTTTTTGAGGTTTAGGTCCATTCATATATTTCAGAGCTTTTACATATATAATTTGAGTTTGTTTTTAAAATAAGCAAAGTTAGGGGAACATTTTTGAATTTTACATTTGTGGATGTAAAATTTGGCAAGACAAACAAGACAAAGAGGTTTTTTTTATTCTGTCGTAGTACATCAAAAATGATAACATCTCTGTTTAACAAGACAAGGTAAAGAACGAAATATGGAATCATTCATCCAGTGTTGCATTTCAGACCAAAAGGGTTGGATAGATGCATCAGGGATTTCAGACTTCCGGTCATTGCGCAATGCAAGCGTGAACAGAGCCTATTAAAGAAAAAATGGATTTGAATAATGTACTGACTAATAAAAACTAGAGTGTGAAAGGCAGGTTCAAATTCTGTGATAGAAAGTGTTTAAGATGCAGATTTGTTGACCTGGTTTATGGTTAAATACTTTTGTAATTACTGGACCTGTCCACATGAAACAAAAACTGGCACAACATCCAACTTTTATCAGAATAAACAAACAAAAGTGATCAGATTGTTCTGCTGCAACACGTGTCTGATCTCTGCAGAAACGATTTAAACATTAATCATGAAGGTCTGTGGAGCCTTTCCCAAACAAATAAGTTTCAACATTTCTGGATCGTAAGTTTGCCGATTTCTTTCCAAAACAGTGAATCACAAACTCCTGGTTTCCATCTAAAAAATATGACTTCATCCTCGAGAACATGAACTCAAGAACATGAACTTATCAGCAGTGTTTGGAATAACGCGTTAGAAAAGTAACGAATTACTGTAATGTGGCTTTACAGGGAAAAAACTGTAATATTTTACTCGGTACAAATGTGAGTAATCAGCGTTAAGATGATTTTTTAACCTGGATTGAAGTGGTGGTTTTTTTGTTTTTCTTCATACAAATTTGCTAAAATCACGGCGATTTCAGCAGCGCCCGTGTAGACCGTCAGGTGACCGCGAGTGAAAGGACCGACGCAGATCGAGCTTTGCAGAAACCCTGTCTGCAAAACGCTTCCAAGTTCTAGTCCAAGATTAGTCCTGGTTTTAGTCCTGGTTTAAACCTGTTTTAGACCTGGTTTAGACCTGGTTTTAGTCCTGGTTTAGACCTGGTTTAACCTGGTTTAGACCTGGTTTGTCCTGGTTTACCTGGTCCTGGTTTAGTCCTAGTTTAGACCTGGTTTAGTCCTGGTTTAGCCCTGGTTTTAGTCCTGGTTTAGTCCTGGTTTAACCTGGTTTAGACCTGGTTTAGTTCCTAGTTTAGTCCTGGTTTTAGTCCTGGTTTAAACCTGGTTTAGTCCTGGTTTAGTCCTGGTTTAGTCCTGGTTTAGACCTGGTTTAGACCTGGTTTAGACCTGGTTTTAGTCCTAGTTTAGTCCTGGTTTAGTCCTGGTTTAAACCTGGTTTAGTCCTGGTTTAGTCCTGGTTTAGTCCTGGTTTAGACCTGGTTTAGTCCTGGTTTAGACCTGGTTTAGACCTGGTTTAGACCTGGTTTTTGTCCTAGTTTAAACTTGGTTTAGTCCTGGTTTAGTCCTGGTTTAGACCTGGTTTAGACCTGGTTTATGCCTGGTTTAGACCTGGTTTAGACCTGGTTTAGTCCTGGTTTAGACCTGGTTTAGACCTGGTTTAGACCTGGTTTAATCCTGCTTTAGTCCTGGTTTAGACCTGGTTTAGACCTGGTTTAATCCTGCTTTAGTCCTAGTTTAGACCTGGTTTAGACCTGGTTTAGACCTGGTTTAGACCTGGTTTAATGCTGCTTTAGTCCTGGTTTAGTCCTGGATCATAAGTTCAGCAGTGAGGCTTTTGTGGGCACTGTAGGCGACATGTGGGCAAGGACAGGCGGGACGGCCCTGGTCCTGGTCCTGGTCCTGGTCCTGGTCCTGGTCGGTTTTCCGCTCCGTACGACGTGGGAAACGTTACTCGGCCGATCTGTTTTATACGACAATTGACATGTTGTGTGTGATCAATTATAGAAGCCATTTTTCTGTAATATTCTCAAATGGGAGCAGGCATCTGTTGACAACACATCAGAGGCATTATGCACATTCCTGCGCACGGCACGTCATTGGCCCGCGCCCCCGTCACTCACGTTTTCGCCCCGCCTCGCCCCGCGCGTTTCTCGAACCCGATTGGCGCCGCTATTAGTCCTGTGGAAGGCGCCGTGGCCAATGCGCGGGCCGGGGGCGGGGGCTCACGGGTGGATCGGACTCTCGCGCCTTCAGTGGCAGAATCCCCGAGCGAGCGAGTGCACACGGCGGACACGAGAGTACCGCGACCGACCGACGGCTCTCCGCACGGACATAACGGTTTCTTTTTGGCTCCTCTCCGCGCACACTACGAGAACTAACCCGGCCTGGTTTTTTAAGGGTTTAACACATTCTTCTACTCACGAGGAGGAGGGAAACGTGGGATTTGAGATTTAAGTTTTTTTTTTCTTTTTTTTTTTTTTTACGTTTTTGTTCCTTTTCCCCCCCGAAAGAGGATTCTGTGTTGTGCGTTTTAGCGGTGGTTTGTGTTTCGCTCTCGCCGCAAAGATGATGGTCGGAGAGGTGGAAGTGAAGGAGCGACCGAGGCCGAGTCCCGACTATTTGATGCAGTTGTTAAATGAGAAGAAGCTCATGACCAGCCTGCCAAACCTCTGCGGCATCTTCACACACCTGGAGCGGCTTCTGGATGAAGGTAAGCGGCGGCGCTCCGGAGCGGAGGCACCGCGGGGAGAGGGGCAGTGGACCGGCGGGGGGGAAAAGCGTGACCGAAGCGCAGGGTTTGGGGCTCGTCTGTGCGCGGGGCTCCACGGTGAACCCCGCACGGCCACGCACAGCGACGCTTTGTCCGAAATGCTGACCGAGCCCAGGCTTGTGACCGAGATTCACCGAGCTCCGCCGAAGCGCGCAGCTTCTGGACGAAAATAAGTAGAGTTTGTTTACTCACGCCGCAGCTCTGAGAGAGACGAAGTCATGAGGCTAACCCGTCAAGTTAGTTGGTTCACTCTCGACTTGTGGAGACAAGTCCAAAACTTTGTTTTTCATCTTCAAAATGCAGGAAAGATCAGTGTATGTTGGCGTTTTGACTAAAAGGACTAGTTTGGCGAGTTTGGAGCGGACCCGTGCGTAAAGAAGGCTTTTTAGAGCGGACTTGTGACGGGGCCTGACTGCACATGTTGGAGCAGCGCTGTAGCTCGGGTTAGCCACATTTGAGGCTAGCGACTCCGGGGTTTTCTCAACTCAAGAGGAACCCGAGCGCTGCCTCCGCTGCGGCTGTGCACGCAGGAGACAGCGGCCCAGTCCAACATGTTTGTGTGAATGTGGCGTTACGCGCGTCCGAGCCGCGGTGGCGGGCTGTTGTTTTTACACGGGGGGTTACTATTGCCCAGCGGCCGAGCTCACAGCGGAGGAATGTGTCTGCTTGTTGCCCAAACAATGGCCAGCGCGCAGCTGAAGGGAGGAGGAGGCGGTTACAACCGGACAACTTTTCCTCGTGACGGGGCTCGCTGCGGTGGCACGGCCGTGTTCGGTGCCACATTAGCGGGATTTCACGGGGGTATTGTGCCCGTAGTAATGCATGCCACAGTCTCCCCGGGTCTGCTGCAGTCGTCGTGTGTGCCAGTGTAGCAGCGTGCCCAACCAAAACTGCGTCGCCTTTTTGTGTGTCCAGACGGAATGTGTGCGCTACGTCAGCGGCGTAAGCCCGGGCTGCTCTGGGCACAGATGAAGGCGCTTGTGTTGTGCCTTCTGTTGGTGGTATCCATGGCATAAGCTGGTCTAAGCGGAGGGTTGAACCCGGGCTTTATGTAACGGAGCGGGGGACACTAGAGAGCGCCACAGCCCCCTGGCGCACTGTCCCCGTGCGTGAGTGACGGCAGTGACAGGCTGCGTGCATGTCACCATGTTCAAGCTTCCACACATTCTGTCTTTAAAGGCAGTGCGTTAAGTGGGCGAAGGGCAAGAATCTACAAATGCACATGTTTGACCTGGTGTAGGATTCACAGCATTGACCTGACCACATCAAAAACCTGCTCAAAGTTCAATGTCTCCAGAGTCAACAGAGAGAAAACAAAGAGAAGGATTTCCCCACGTTTATGTCCAAAAGTGACTTCATTTATTTTACCACATACACATCATAGTTGCCATTTGACCCAGTCCGGAACACGTTTGTACATTTGTGAAGTCAAAACCACACACTGACACTGACACACACACACACACTGACACATACACACACACACACACACAGATTTCATTCTGCGTGTGTGGATTTCTATCTGGATGTTTCTCTCTAAAACAATCTGTCAGTGTGGAGTCATCGTGACCCTTGGCCTCTATTTAAAATGTGACATTTAAACAGTGGAAGGAGACGCGCCTGAGCAGTTGTGTGTCTGTGTGTGTGTCTGTGTGTGTCTGTGTGTGTGTGTGTGTGATGAGCCAGGCCGACTGTGTGTGACGATGAGGAGCAGGAGCAGGCAGAATGCAGTGGCTCAACCGGTCGGTGAAGATTTCCGCCTCTGTCAGAGTTGATAACCGCATACTTAAGAAATCTAGTCTTGTATTGCTCACCGGAGTCTGCACCGTGCGAACACAAATCCAGGATCCATCTGTGCACTTCTGGAGCGCAGGGGCAGGTCCTGGCTTCAGAATTTACACTATCACTGTACAGATGTTTTTTTTTTTTTTTGGTTATTGCCTAACAACTGAGCATTTTAGACGTGAACATTTGAACGATTATTATTTCTTTTATTCTTAATTTGGAAAGTTTGCATGCGGATTATCCGTCCGTACTAAATTTACAACACACACCGCGCAAATTCCACTTTATTTTTACATATTTTTTGTCATTTTTTAACAGAATTACACTTTCAGAGTAACACAGCCCATCTTGTTTCCATTTTTTGATCATAAACAGACATAACACACAGCGATTTTCTGCAGAGTTTACATTTTAAAATCACTGTTTTGACACTAAAATTTCAAACTCAACACTCAAAACAGCTTCCAATACTGCAATTATAATAAAAAAAATCACTCTTTTAGACAATAGTATGTGATTTTGAGAGATCTAGAGCTTCAGGAATGGCTCATTTTTGTTCTGCGATTGAACTTTTTTTCGTATCGTAGCTCCTCAAACGAGCTCCCAGTTTGAGTATCGTTCGGAATCCGATATCCGTGCGGTTTTACATGACGCAATCCACGGAATAACACGAGCTCCGGTCTCTTTTGAGGGCCCCCGTCCGGCGCTTTGAGCTCACATCGGGGCGTAGTACAGCTGTTGGCTCCATTTGGATCCAGGGGAGTGTTTTTTGTTTTGCAGCCCGGCGCAGAGTCAGGAAGCCGCGATGTTTTTCCTCCCTCCACACCTCCCTCCTCCCTCCACACCTCCTCCCTTTACCGTAACCACCTCCCGAATTCACACCACAGCGGAATTCCGAAGACGCTACAAAGCTACAATGCGATTTTTTAGTATTTGCTTTTGCACCGAGAGAGAGAAATTGGCAGGAGTGTGCGGTGTTGCTCGCCTGTAGTAGTCCCGTTTGTTTAGTTTCTGGGACAGATTTGTGAGGAGACGAGCAAAAACTACCTGCATAATCGCGCATTTTACTACGAAATACGCAGATTTTGATTGGATTTCCGATTTTGTTTTAACAATCAGTGTCCAAAACTAAAATTTAAACCTCTAAACTCAAAGAATCCCGTGCATTTCAGAGCACGTTTGTACAAATCTGAACTACAGGATTTGCTTTTTTTTTTTTTTTTTTTTTTTTTTTTTACGCATAACACGACGCGACGGAGCCACGGGGACGTTCGTTTTACCCGGAGACGGCGTTATATTATCCAAATAACCCCAACCCCTTTGTCCCTCGCCGGTTTGTGATCACAATTACAGGTCCAATCAATTACACAAATGATGTAATCGGAGGAAATAATAAAAACGACTCGGGGGGGCCCCTCCTAACGCGGAACTCTGAAATGAGCGCAGTGTGATTTACCGCCGCTTTGAAACAATAACGCGATAAGTTTATAGTCGCGGTCAGTACGTCATTTGTAAAGCTTTATTTAAAGTCGTATTTAACCTGGAATGCTTCACAGAATGGTATTAAACTTTTTTTTTGTGCATTTATTCAAACAGATTGATTAATTTGTGTAAAAATACCTAAAAAAATCTGCATTTTTAGCAAGATTGGGCTCGCCTCTCAATAGATCTGACCTGTAACCTTTCACAAACACCCTCTGCTAATTGTTTTGACTTTATTAATTCCCTTTTTTTATAACCAGAGTGAAGTGGACTTTTGTTTTACTTCTTCGCAGGCCTGTTATCAAACTCTTACAGCTTTCTAGTTGTCATTTCAGAATCGATTCGCTTTACTTTTATTCGATTTTTCGCAGGTATCGATACTCAGAAAGTCGCGTTGATCATTCGGAATCGTTTTTGGAATGATTTGGAGCTGCGTCAGAACAAAAATAAGAGCACAGAGACGAGTAAACGCCCAGGGACGACTGAAAATGACAGATATAAGGCCACGTGGGAATAGAAAAGAAAGTACCGTAATTTCTGGACTATAGAGCGCAACTGAATATAAGACACACAACTAAATTTAAAAGAAAAAAACACAGATATTGGCTGCACTTGTCTATAAGCTGCAGGTGTTTATGTCTTAACTTGAGATGTTTACACAGAAAGATTTTTAAACATTTTAATTAAATACCAGTACATGCTTTTTTTTTTTTTTTTGAACAGTGTCTGTAACACGGCAGTAAAACGACAGGATTACAACAGGATTATCAGACTACGTCGCTTCTCGCTCTACTGCGCATGTCTCCTGCAGAAAGAGCCTCAATTTCTCGTAGGATTTCCGCAGATTTCAGACTCTCAGGGGGGCGGGGACAGGTGTACGGATCAAGTATGAGTGGATGTGCGGCTACTGAAGTTTGAGACGTTTCTCAGAGAGACGTTACTTACGCACTCGCACACGGCAACTTCATGTCAAATAATCTGTCCATATATTCGCCGCAGTGTTGGATAAAATCGTTGTTCAATGTCTGAAGAAAAAAGTAGTGGAGTCATGGAAATTGAAAATGTCGTTTTCTAGGGATTGGAAAAGTCATGGAATTTTTTGCATCGTTCTGTTAAGTCAGACATGTCAGACTCGGGCCCGGGGGCCAAATTTTGCCGACGATATAATTATATTTGACTCGTGAGATCATATCAAACATGTATTAGAGCTGCCGCCGGCTACGGACAGACTATAGAGACATAATTTATTTAAAATATTGTTATTATTTTATATTCTGCTTGTTCTGGATTCAATGTTTATGCAAAATTTTTATAAAACATTTACTTTAATAAGAAAAATAATGTGTGTTTAATGTGACATATGTCGAAAGAAGAGAAAACATGCAGATGTTGTTGAAATTTTTCAATAAATATTTAATTTGGCCCACGATTTAGTCCCAGTTTTTAACTTTGGCCTCTGTGAATTTGAGTTTGACTCTCCTGTGTTGAGTTCTCGTTAGACTATTGTGATTATTTCTGAACGTATCCAACTTTTGTTTAAAACACGACAATAAATGCACTGACAGGATTTTGAATGTTTAAAACTATAATCCCAAACCGTGAAGTGAGTGGAAAGAGTTAATATTTCATATTTAGTCCTAAAACTATGATCAATTCTACACATGCAGGTGCTG